AGAAAATGATACGCAAGAAGCCAATCGATGAGCTAGCACTGAGAGGGAAAGTACAGAAATTCAGAGCCTCGCTTCAGAACAGGTACTCGGCTCTTATTGAGGAAACCAACCTTAGCGTAGATACAATGAATGATAATCTGACGAGTATCATTACGGAGTGTGCAGTGGAAGTTGGAGAAACGGTAGTTAGACAGGACACTGACAAGTTTTCCCAGGAAACGAAGAATCTCATTAAGAAGCGTCAAAGCATGAAAGTCGCAAGTACAACAGACAAAATAGAACTGGCAGAGCTTTCGAAGTTGATTAGTAAGTGTAGCGTATCCAATGTAAGAAGGTATAACATTGAGAGAATTGAACATGCTCTGAAAAACGGAGGGAGCGTCAAAGCAGTGAAGAGGAAACTTGCAATAGGCAAAAATCGGATGTATGCACTAAGGGACAAAAAAGGCAGAATAACTACCATTATGGATAGGATAGTTAAAATAGCGGAGGAGTTTTACAGAGATCTGTACAGTAGCCGGGACAACCACGACCTGAATACCATAAGAAATAGCAGTAACCCAGATGACACCCCACCAGTAATGATAGAAGATGTCAGAAAAGCCTTCGAAAGCATGCAAAGAGGCAAAGCTCCTGGTGAGGATCAGGTAACATCAGATCTGCTGAAAGATGGAGGACAGATTATGTTAGAAAAACTAGCCACCCTGTTTACGAGGTGTCTCCTGACAGGAAGAGTACCACAGTCTTGGAAGAATGCTAACATTATCTTAATACATAAGAAAGGAGATGACAAGGACTTGAAGAATTACAGGTCGATCAGCTTGCTCTCCGTAGTATACAAGCTATTTACAAAGGTAATTGCTAACAGAGTGAAGAAAACATTAGAATTCAATCAACCAAAGGAACAAGCAGGATTTCGAACAGGCTACTCTATAATCAACCACATTGGTACTATCAATCAGGTATTAGAGAAATGCTCAGAATACAGCCAACCACTATACATAACCTTTATTGATTACGAGAAGGCATTTTATTCAGTAGAAATATCAGCAGTCATGCAGACACTGCGAAATCAGAGCGTCGATGAATCATATAAGACATCCTGGAAGAAATCTACAGGGGATCAACTGCTACCATAGTGCTTCATAAAGAAAGCAACAGAATACCAATCAAGAAGGGTGTAAGGCAGAGGGATACAATCTCCCCAAAGCTATTTACCGCGTGCTTACAGGAGGTTTTCAGAAGCCTAGAATGGGAACAGTTAGGGATAAGAGTTAATGGAGAATACCTTAGTAACCTGCGCTTCGCCGATGACATTGCATTGCTGAGTAACTCGGGGGACAAATTGCAACTCATCATTAGGGAGTTAGACAAGGAGAGCAGAAAGGTGGGTCTTCAAATTAATCTGCAGAAAACGAGAGAACAGAATAGAAAGCTGTAAATCCTTGGCACAAACAATCTAGAGTGTGTTTAAATAACACGCCCGGGCATCGGATGCATTACTCAAAGCGCGCGTGTTCGACCCCTGCCAGCGGCAAGTTATTTTTTCGTCCACTTTTCTTTCATCACATTAACAGTACAATTACTTTTTATGACATCCCTATACTTTTTTTGGCATCATTGTCTGTTCCTATTAATACTGTGTATAACGGAGAAAACGAGCCCTTAAATTTACCCTTCTTTCCTACAATCCAAAACTGGAAGATAGATGGGTCACCTGACAACCCATCAGTTACTCTATATGTACGAGTGGAAGCAGCTCTACTATCTACTGCACATACCAACCCACTCTTTTTTTTTTTTTTTGGTGAAGCCCGATCATAACAATGGAGCTTGTATGGCCCTTTGCTGTTACTGTCATAAGTGAGCGTTTAACAGTTTTCAATAGTTTCCAGTTAAGAACACTACCTATCCTTTCCAAAGCCTATACATTTTTAGTCTCAATTTCAATGAAGCAATTTAAAATGAAGCAGCTTTGCTAAGTCAATGTCTTAAAATCATATGCAGTTTTCCATACCTGGCAACAGAGAAATTCGTAAAATGCCTGAGCGGTGAAGGAGGGGGGGGGGCGCAAGGGGGGTTACAGACTTGTTTTTTAATTGTAGATGTGATAGATTTGCCTTTAGCGATAAGCATATTCACGTTTTGCCACCATAAATCAAATTGACGAGCTGAATTCTTTTCCATTTTTGGCACAAAAAAAAAAAAACATCGCGAAAAATAGCAGGGGGGGGGGGGGTCTCAAACGCAAGCGCAAATATCGGCACTGCGTTCTCATAATGGCTTGGATTGGCCGAACACACGAGTGAAGGGTTTCCCACTAAGGAGAGTCTCAAAGAGGGAGCGCAAATGCTTCCGAAATTTTGCGTCATCAAAACAACTAGCGAGAAAATCGATTTCCATCAAAAAAAACTCGCGTACGTCTTCACACGTGCTTGTACGGGACGGCGCAGCTGGCTGCCGCAAAAGCGTGGGTCAAAGCTTCGGCTATGCTAACTACTAGATTCTTTGGACAGAAACGGGAAAACACTTCTAGCCTTTTCTACATCTTTACTGCCTTTAATCCTACCACTGCGTCAGCCACGTGCCCTAGGTGCTTGTAGATCGCTATCGCATCGCCCCGACTGCAGTTTGGTGCGCAGCAGTTGCGGCCAACGGTAGCTTTGTTTTCAGTCCATGTGCCTTCAAAACTAAGTCGTTTTATGCTATCTGCAATCGCAACTGCCGCGGTTTTTTCCGCAGAGTTTGTGGAAAACAGCGTTGCTTTGACTGGTTGAACGTTGGCCACGCGCACACTTTAGGAGTTCTGTCAGTAATGTCGTCGCCATAACTGATCGTGTCGAACAACCGCGCTTTCGTCCACAGCGGTTGTGGCAACAAGAACCACACGCACTGTAGAAGACAGTGCATGTGGTGGTCACACGCGTACTTCCGAAGCTTCTTCATGCATTTCTGGTGTCATGCTCATTTTGTTTTGTTCTGTCGCTATCATGGTGGACATTACAAGCTGATTACTGTGTTCCTAAATTACAAGAACCCTAGTTGATTGCTGCCAGTAGTGAATTCCAGTAAATGCACAAAGTAATGTGAATGTCTTTTTAAACTGTATAAGTTTCAAATAATCTAAATATTTCACACAGCTCAAAAATAAATTATTTCATGTTCATGTTATACCCACATCATAAATGCATTTAGAAGAACTTTCAAGCGAAAGTCCATTGACTTAAGGGCTAAGTTTTACATCAGACACAGATGCGCTGTTGAAGGCCAACAAGTCATTAGTCTAACCAGTCAATGGAGCACCCTACAACTATTTTGAAATCCCAATGACCATTGAACAAATGAAGCGGAAATGGTGCAAGTTCGCCCTCTGATTCACAGTGTGCTTGCGCGCACAACTAAAAAAATAACCGGTGTGCTCAAAATATAATATATGTTAGTGTTACGAATCATTCATGAAAGTACTTTCGTCACTTTAAATGAACAAACTGCACATCAGACAATCAATGCCTTGCCAGTCTTACTGCTCACAAACTCAACTAAACATACATGTATAACAATGTATAAAATATTCATTATAATGTTTAACCATAAATAACAGACATACCAGTGTTAAACATGATTTTTTCAATTAAACTTTTGATGAAAATAAACCTAAGGTAAAGATCCACAGCACCACACAATTTTTCAGAGAGAATGGCCTGAACCCATGGCCTCAACGGTCTTACAAAACTGCCGTGTATCGGTGCCACAATTCTAATGAGTCAATAGAGTTGTGGCATTTTAAAGGCTATCAAGTGGAGGGCCTTTGAAGAGTGTTTGCATGAAACGGAAAATATTTTCGAAGATTGACAGACCGCACGAGCCCAACAGCTGGAGGAGAACCCTAGGGTAGTTTACGCAGACGCCTCGCTCAGAAAACACGATGACCGAGCAATCGCAGTAGCCACGTCTATCGACAAGCCGGTTGTCAGCGCGTTGCTGAGGACGACAGACCCAGCCATTATAGAAGTAGCTGTGGCCCTCGCACTCGTACAACCGAAAGTCGACACCGTGGTCACAGATTCGAAGTTACCTTACGAAAGCTTCCACAGGGAGGGAGGTGTGTGATATCTATCCTGCAACCTGCACTATTCTCTTCAAGTACAAGCCTCCAAAACATGCCATCGATCTCGTCTGGGTCCCAGCCCACTCGAAGATACTGGCCATCGCACCAGAGAATCATCCATCTGGGCTGAGGACGAGCTGGCTATGCTACCACATCCCATGACGAGCTTTAAAGAGATTACTCAGATGTGCAGAAATGCAAGGCGCAAACTTCCTGAAGTGCACCCGCAACTAACCAGGCAACAGCAAACGATCCTGCGGTGCACGCAGGCGGGATCGCTAGTGCATCCTGTTCTGTTACACCGAATGTACCCGGCTGAGCACGACAACTCTGCCCTTTCTGCTGAAGAAAAAGAGGCACTCTGGCACACATCAAACGGAAGTACCTCAAGAAGCGCCCACCTCCCCCTCCCCCAGCACCCCCAATTCATAACACCCCCCCCCCCTCCCTCCCGAGCGATGGGAGGCGTTGTCCACCACCCAGTCTGGTGCAAGCATGCACTATCGAATTTTCGAACTCAATAAAGTTGATTCTCTCTCTTTATATTCTATTAAAATTTATATTTTACTAAACATGATTAAAAAATTTCACTATTCACTCATATTGGAAAGTTTGCACAGCTTTAGGATACTTGCTGACCTGTTACACGCACTACTTTTCCTGAGAAATCTTACTCAAACTAACACACACTTATCCAAAGTGCGACAGCAAAGTGAAATTACATATGCAGCTGCACTTTGAAGAAATGTATTGTCAAATAGTAATGCAAGAGTAAAATTTCAAAAACTAGGCATGAGGGTAAAACATTTTACATGCTGCCTATATATTTAATTAGAAGAGTTCTAACCCATTTCAGTCACTCCCGCTGGCAAACTATTGTACCTGAACTGACCTGCTAAGACAGATGTTGCAAACTTCATTCCTTCCAAAGCAGCAGCACAGTTTTCTTCTTTCACGACGTGTTTGGTTTAGTACCCCTTTCGATGAATGCTTCGCAGAAGATCCAGTTGTCACCTGCACTTTGCCACCTGTTAAGACATTGTGCACATTGATTGTGTGAAGTGGAAAACCCATGTGAGGTGGCAGGCACTGGCGCTTCACTTGAGCTTTCTGAAATGAACACAGAAAACAAATTTTAATGAAAGCCATTCATAGGAATGACGGGAATTATAGGAATCAACATCATCATGACTATTTTAAGTATATTGTGAAACTCAATATTTGCCAATAATTTTTCAATTCATCTTCCGGAATACTGACTGAAAAACTAAAGACATTAAAGTCTTATACTTGGTTTTCTTGGTCAAGTGTTCTGGCTCGCTTTCTTGATGGAGGGTTTTGTGATGATGGCTCCAAATCCTTTGGCAATGGCTCTGGTTCTTTTGTCTCAGTCTTTCCAGACACACCATTAAGTCTCTGGGCAAGGCCAAAGTCAACTAAAGAAAATCTATGAGCAAAGAAAGGTAAAAAAAGGTGCATGACCATGTTGTTTTAATTTATTTACCTTACAGCATCAGATGTCAAATAAAACTTGAGAAACTTGTGAAAAAAAGAATGCAATTTACTCTCACCTTTTATGTTTACGATTATATAGAAAGTTGCTCGGTTTCACATCCCTGTGAATGATGTTGAATGAATGGACTCTTCTTAGTGCAATAAAGAGCTGCATCATGTACTCCTGCACTTCAGTGACTGTCAGCTTATACACATAGTCCTGCAAGTGCAACAGGTGAGGAGGGAGTTCAACAATAATGCATGGTCTGCTACTGCAATACTGACGAGTGGAAACTTACTTGAAACTTCTCATGAGGAAAGTATGGCATCACAATGGCAACATGGCCCTTGTGCAAAAAGCACATTTTCACATCCATGACATTGCTGCTGCCTCTAAATAAAAGAAAGCCATTTAGTGCATAATCTCTAGATAAGTGAAAAAAAGTGCTTCGGTGCTGCAGAGACATTGAAGGCAAAGTTCTAAGTAGGAACTATTGAACAAACAATGACAACCTCTCTAATAAGCCCATAAACTATACAATGCAACTGGCTGCCTGCAGCTTCTTTGTGGCAGAGATGCAACATCTGTGCTAGAAGCATAGAGCACTAGAGTGATGTGCACTGCAAACGTACCGTCCTGCGCTCTCAAATTTCTTACTGCCCATGCGAGCTTACGAAGGATTAGTGGACCAATGATGGCATTAATGCAAGCAATCTAGCTTATACTAGCATTGTTAATGCAAGATTACATTGCATTTCAAAAAGTAATCATTAGAACTGGGCCAAACAGAGCTAAAAAGAGCAATATTTCAAAGCATGAGGACAGATAAAACATTCTTTAACACGAGATTTCCACTCAAAGCTCATAAAAGGTTTTGTATTTCCACCATTTTCAGTGCACATAAATAAGTCTGCAAATACCCAGGTCGAATAGACAACTTTACCACACTGCCAGTAAAAAAAAGTCTTGTTCAATAACATCTAGATGTAGGGATTTGGCATATTTACAGGTGCATGCCAGACATATGCTAAGTTTACAATTATAATTTTTATAATTTTTATTTATTTTATTTTTTACACTTCATAAAACATTGTTTAGCAGTACAAATAACCAAAGCATACAAAGAGACAGTGAATGAAATTAAAAAATTAGCAATCTATTCCGAAAATCCAGCAGTTGAGGTAGCTTTTAATGACTGCATAATTAGAGGTAAAGTTCAACGAAAGGCACACATATGTGTTAGGTCACGGTTTCTCTTGAATGCATTCAAACTGCAAAAGATACAATTGAAAAACTATCATAGAAGCACTCAGTATGTTATAAATATGTATACAAGGATGGAAACAACCATGGGAGTCGCAGGGGGGGTGTGCAAATGCGGCACTTGCCCCCCTCATGCTTCACCATCATTTGCCCTCACTCATCCAAGCTACAGCAGTGCTTTCCCTTCCACCGGCCCCACTGCAACACTGATTTGCACCCCCAAGAAAAAATACTGTTGACAACCATGAAAACAACATCAGTGATGTATAAGCTGATAGTAACAAACTCGCAAGAGAGAATCTTTCACATGCTAATTTACACATTTGCTTGTATGTTGACATAGTTTGTTATATTTCCTTGTTCGAGCAAGTGGCAAACTCAAGAAAGGGCTCACACCAAAAAAGAAGGATAAACAACTTCCTATATTACACCGATATCCCAGTCACTATATCAACAACCGAGGAGAGCTTCAGAGAAACTACAGATGTAACATCAAAATGGTGTTTGTCAGACTGCAAGTCATAGCCCCTTTTTTCAGCCAGTGCCTGCACCCATAGCCAATCTCCCTTGAATGGAGGAACACTTAATACATTCTACACCAGCACACTTGCACTAGCATTACTAAAGGTAGCTCTAATGCAACCACTTCATTCTCTTACCCAATTTCTTTGAGACATTGCAGTTCACTTGCAATCCGTGAAGGGTGACTTGTGGGAATTAAAAACTTGATGGCGAATTCCATGTGCAAACCAGTTGACTTCAGCCTCGCTTTGTAGACATGACTGAAAGTACCTGCAAACAGCAGCCAGTTTATTTGGAAGGTTGCACCAAAATCATAGTCACTGCAGCACATACCTTCACCAATCTTGCCGTCCAGAATGAAATGTTTCTGAACTTGTGGAATGTAGGAGTACAAGCGAAGATTGTCTTTGCGTCTTTCTGCAGAAATTGAAGAGATTTTTTTTATCATACATGATCTCATAAATGGCGAAGGCAAACGTGTACAGGCTGCACGATTAACAATCTACTGCTCATACAACAATGAAGATATTCTAACAAATGTGATAATCGAGTATAGTGCCGTATGACTGGTTTTACTTTAGGTAGTGTTTATATAGCTGGCAACCAGCAGAGTATATCGGCCGGCCGGGTGACGGCAGTTCTTTTCTATGGGAGGGTTTCAAGTTACGTTCTCTGGGGAGTGCGGCGAGGCTGGTCTGGTGCTGCTGAACGGCGAGGCGTGGAATCGCCAACCTCAGAGAAGCTAGTCTCACGACATGAAGCACACTTGAAACAAGCGGCACAGCGAGCCAGCCGCATACTGCATCGTTTGGAAAGCTCAGGTTCTTGACTATCCTTAACAATGGTGATCAGTTTTGCGAACTGTCGGAGAGCAAAAATAGCTAAATGGCGGCTTAAAGCTAACAACTACAGTAAGCCGGCATGACGGGCTCACCAGAAATGTGCCGGCAGATAAGTCGCATGGTCATGGGCAGCCAATAAAAAAAAAAAATGCCGCCAACTTGTTTTCTGAGTAATACGCCTGCTGCCGGCAATATACGCGCGGCCTTTATACACCACCTGGGCCAACATTTCCGAAGCTTAGAATTTGGCGAACGTAATAGAGGTCCTAAACAAGCAGCACAAGGTGTTGAAATTCTACTGACGGTGTTTGAAACGTTACTCTAAACAACAGTTAAAATACCAAGCAACTCTACAAAAGATAGTGCCAAATAAGCTGCCCATTCTCGATGAACTTACTTGCGTTCCTTGCGGCCCTAGCGCGAACCGGGGCCATGGCGCTTGTTTTTTGCAACGCCTCTTTCGCCGACTGCGGCCTATTTGCCACATCGGGTTGTCTGAAGACCTCCTGCTTTGAGGGATTTGCCACATCGGGTTGTCCGAAGACCTCCTGCTTTGAGGGATTTGCCACATCGGGTTGTCTGAAGACCTCCTGCTTTGAGGGATCTATCTCTAAATTTTTTGGAACATCCATAGCCTCACTTTTCCCTTCAACCTGTTGAAGACGTGAATTAAGAAGCGGTCGTGAATACAGTGCAGCACGCGCCATTAACACAAAGCATTGCAAGACATCAAACGCGTGCCAACCAGTCATCTCTCTGGAGGAACTCCTAAGTATCGCACGAATTTTAGAGGAAAATAAAATCGCCCCTACGGTTGACCACGCACACTCCGAGTTTTAAGTTCTTTTTTTCAACACTTAGTTCTAATGACTTTCTTTTTATTGTGTTTTTTTTTTTCATTTTCTGTTCTGTAAACGCACGCCATGTATACGTGCCTTGCATTCGGCTTTTCTCGGCTGCCGGTCGTTATGGCTACTCGTAACTCGCCAAGTTTGGTATAAGAACTCTTACCACTTTTACATTCCAGGGAAATAAAGGTCCAGGTTTCACCCGGGCGTCTACCGGTACGGCTGCCGTCAAACCGGCCTACCCAACCTCCACTGCCCGAACCAAACCGCCAAATGCCTACGGCTGCAGCACTGCCAGTAGCTGCAACTGCCGCAACGATAGCAATGACGCCAGACGACGCATCTGTATATTATTCCATGCATCGTGGCTCCATGCAACGCCTTCTAGATTTCTTGTGCCTGCTGGATGAGCGCGAAACACTGGTCATCTATGGCGGCGCTGCCTACGTAGGAAGTAAGAGTTTTGTACTTGGCCTTTGAGATGGACAATTTTGGCGTTTGCTGCTAATTTTAGAGGATGCCTTGTATAAAAAAAGTTGCTTGCTGAATGACGGCGTCACTTACGTAGGGTTACTTATAATTACCTTTTCGCCTTTTTAAATTTTTAACGTTATTTTTGTTGCATAGAAGCTTCAAAAACGTAAAAACTTATTTGAAGACACCCCTACTTGAGTGACGCCACCACCATAGTTGCGACGACCGCCGCATCCCAAGTGACTGCCGATCCGGCAGGCACAGGAAAACTAGGAGGCGTAATGAAAAACCACCACGGGTGCACTTGTACACTGAAATTACACCCGCCACTGAAAACAAATCGAGCACTTCTGCAGGCGTCAGGCTTGTGTCTACACCGCGGACTAATCCTTTCGAGCATGCGAGGTGTGCCGGAATAAATGGGCTTACCGGATGCGCTGCAAATTCGGAACACTGCAGGAGCTCACGAATGCATTCCTGATCTGCGGAACAGCACAGGATGCCTCCGCGACCAAACTGGTGGACCTCAGTGATCTCCTGGAGATGCGAAGTGGCTTTTCGAAGCTCCACTTGAATCGCCTTTGGGTTCTTCATCGGAATACTGCCCCCATCTGTAGGTACCAGCGCCACAGGGACACTTCTCGCTCCACTGCGTAACAAATAGTCTATCGGCCAATCCTTGACGGGAGTGGAAGCCAACCAAGGGGAGTGCCCTTGGCCGGGGGAAGAAAATGACATCAAGATTGAATGACTCGCTTCAGCTGAGAAAGACCAATACAGTTACCGGAAAATAACGAACTCTCAAAGAACAATAAGGATACTGCCGCCCGATCCTGAGCCCGGGCAGCTTCTTCACAGTCGAGCCTCATAGTCGAAAGCCCCTCGGAGCTCGATGCGACGCGCGCAGAGCCTAGTTCTTCTCTTCTTCTTCTTCAGCGTTCCATCGCACGAGAGAAGCCACGCGGAGTGCCTGCCAGAGCACGCGCTGCCCCAGAACATCGTCTTCCATTCTCGCGCATTCTCGCGGGCAGCTTGCGCTCGCCGTAACTAGCGGCCAAGTGTCAATATAAAGAACACGCTAAAACTACGACAAATGCTGCTAAATGAGTAATTGATGTGCTTTCTTCCTTTTAACCTACTAAATATACCAACTAATTTTGCCTGTCCCTTCAGGGCAGAATTCACTCAAGCAAACTATTAAAGAAAACTCTTTATTGCTGAATAATCTTCCAGAGATGTGCTTTAAACACTTGCTTCAAGCATTCCCGGTCACTGAAAAAAAAAGCCACAGTGATGGAAGCTTGGTTTGGGAATACTCCATTCTGAAAGTCAGAAGGCGTGCGCCCTAGAAGTGATGAAAGTGACATTTGACATTTCAAAAGATGAGTACTACTTTGGAGCAGCCGTAAATGTTTACGGAGCATAAAAATGCTAATCAATAGTAGTCACTGGTATTTTAGGAGCAAGAAATTTCCCACACTATAAAGAAGTTCAGAGCATTGTTGAAGCATCTCGTAAATGCTAATAGTAGATTCAAAAGACAAGAATCAATATAAATTTCATGAAGCAAACAATCGCAGGTTGTCGAAAATGTGCTCTGAAATAAGCTACAATTCAAAATACTAGTATTTGGGGCACAAATCAAAACTGGAAAAGCTGAGTGCCATATTTTAAAAGTAACCACAGTCCAATATAAGTATTAATTGTCAAATAAGCAGTAGATAATCGGTATGAGGTAAAAACAATCCTGCTAATTTTCACATTTCACCACACTAGCCTGCATGTCTAACAGAAGAAAAAAAAGAACAGCCAAATGAGATATATGCTTAATATGCCAGCTTTTGTCACGCAAATGAGATCAGAGCTGATAATGCTGCACACATGTAGCACACTGGTATGATAGTACACATATTCTTTTCAGTTTCTCTAGTCGGTCAAGCACAAAAATCGTCATTCTTATTCTCTAGGTGTCATTTCGGAGCAGGTTTGGAGCAATTCCTAAGAAAAATTACTGTTTGGAGCAGTTTGGAGGAGTCGGAGCAGCACTTCCATTATGGCCGCCAGATCTGTGCGGAACTCGCAACATATATCACGGCCAAGACTGAAAGAGAGGCCTGTCAGAGTCTTTTTTAAACACCCTTTCGGGTAAATACTAGAAGCACATTTGAATAGGTGCCCACTGTGCCACAAATGATCATAAATTTTGTGCAGTAGGCGGGCCCACGTTTTCGGCTGACCTTTATTATGCTATCCTTCGTCATTCTTCGGAGAAGCTTGGTATCCCCTTGACACTTGCAAAGAATTTTCTGCAAATTATTTATGCAGTGGCTGGTGATGACGAAGCGGGTATGCGCCACACTTAATAGGTGATCAAGAACGGGCTATTGTAACGAGTTGTAGCATTGAACAACGCACTCGTTATGCAATTCGCACGCTGTGACGCCTGGTTCATCCTTTGCTGTTCTAAAACGCTTTATTATTCATACTAATGCAATTACTTTCCCTACATCAAGCCTGCCTAAGGAGAGCTTGCAACAAAGTTACGGGCATGGGGTGGCTCTGCAGTAGAATGCTGGGCTGTGATGCAGGGTACCCGTGTTCGCATCTCGCTCTGTTCTCTGTATTTTTATTTCCATTTTTATTTATTATTTCCTGCAATAGTGGCTTAAAACACCGGCCGCGGAAAACTACGGCACCACACGCAACCCTTCTTGTGATTTCATAACAGCTTCCCCTGTGAAAAGGAATCATGCTACAATGTCACTAAATGTAAAAAGACAGCCTTTAAGAAATTAAGCAGAGAAACAATGTAAAAGTCAAGTAGGAGACGGTGACTTGCCACTGAACCATGGAGTGAGCCTAGCTAGACACTGCGAGTAAGTACTGCTCAAATATTTTTTTTTTTTGCTCTGCCAGAGTAGACAAGTCGGTCAAATGTGGCAATCAAATATGCCATGCCTCAGCGTACAGCCTGAAATCATCCAAAAGGAACATTATGAAATGCAGTGTACTTTCTTTGCTTACCGGCAAAATTTAAAGAGTTATATTCGCCATTCGCATTTCTTGAAGTTTCTCTCTTTCTGCAATGAGATAGAGATAATTCATTTCATTGTAAGAAGGCTACTGTGCTCATTTAGCAAAATAACAATTTTAACATCGATTACCGTTACAGAAAAAAGCTCATCAATACCAACCCGGTTAGTGAGAACTTGATGTCAGTTTGAATTGGCGCGCTGGTCCCGGCAACACCGTGTTTATTTCTTATGGGGGCGGGGGGGACTCCACAATTCAAATGCGTTGGTATGCACAATGGTGAATTCCACAATGGTACATACAGCCGCCCATTTCTTTTTTAGACCTGGGCCAATAAACGCCAATTTCCGGCATCCTGGTGTCCGGTTCTCTGAACAGCCACGCATAAAGCAGTTGCACATTACTGTTCATCAGGAACATGTGCGTATTGTCCTTCCTTTCGCCGTCATGCTTCTTTGTACGGCGCTTATCGACGGGATGGTCGACGCTCACGCGTTTAGGTTAGAAAAATGGCCGGCTGTACTTTGAACTGACACAACACATTCACTACTTGGCACAACACAACGTAGTACTTCACCAGCGGCACTCGTTACTGATCTATAGATGCAACAATCTCAGCAGCTTCACAAAGCTTTCCAGATATGTTTTGGTAGCCAGAACACAAAAAGGCGGCACTGGTATGTTCACCACCTTCGCCAGTGTCGGCAAGGGCGAATCGCAGCTCCAGAATACAGCTCAATAGAACTTTCTGCTTTATCACATTACCGTGCAGTAAAGGGTCACATTCAAGTTCGCAAGGTTCCTCATAACCGACGGTTGCTGGTTTGAACTACGGGGAAAGAAAAAAGGTTGTAACATTGACGTCGATGGCGTTAGAACTTTCGTTGCAACCATCTCTTCACCCTGAACTTGGCCATATCTGCTAATAAAAACATTCAGACCATGCGAGCACCAGTGATACTACAGCCAGCATACAAATTACAAAACGCGTACAGTAAATGCTTCAAACACGCTCAAAGCAAACAGAGACGCTCGTAGTGTGTGTTCGTCATGGAGAAAGAAAATAACTGCGGACATCGCAACGTTTGGGAAGGAAAAAAAAAAAACGCCTCACAATTTTCTTTCTTTCAAAAACTTATTTCGAGAAAAAAAGAGTGAACAGGAATATATACATTTAGCGTTAATGTTTGTTAGCTTATCAGTTTGTTTGTTTTTTTACCACACAGCCTCTCGAAATTCAAATTACCCGGATAGATTCTGTGAGAAAATAAAAAGCTGCGTTCATCAGGGGCTTAAAAGCGCAGGCAGTTACGTAACTTGTTTCACGCTGGGAATAATTATTAGGTATACTTGTAAATAAAGGTTTGCATTTTGTGACCAAGGCATTATTGCGAACTAAGAATGGATGTCACAGTAGCAGACAAAATTTGCCTGCATTTATTATTTTAAAAGAAAAAGCAGCACTACATTTGTGGACTTGGATGCAGACCATTTCGTTGAAGTTGTTACAGTCGATGTTTTAGCAGGAATTTCTTCCGTTAACACTAAGTTGAAGTTATTTCGTTACCCGGTGCAGCTGATATCGTCAAGAGACGGCTTTCAGCTCTCCCGTAGTACAGTACCAAGTACTGTAAATCGTCAACCACTTCTAAACACACATGTTCTTTTCTCCCATAGTAGAGTACCGAGTACTCTGAATCGTTAACCACATTTTCTAAACACATGTTCTTTTAGCCATTACACATTTTATGATCTGGTTGTCCATTGAATTCCCCATGAGTTGAGCGCTTTACTCTGGCTGGGCACGGGACGGCTTTAT